AGGCCCTTGAAATTCGGGGGCCCTAGACACTTGTCTAGGGAAAATGCCCCCATGGCCGGCCCTGACTCATACCAAATTTCAACTAAAACTTCAATCGGAAATGCATTTAAATTAATTCTTGAAGATAATTGTGCAAATTAAATACGCAGTTATCTTCAGGAATTAATTTGAATGCGTTCTCGATTGAAGTTTTAGCTGAAATCTGGTTTGAATAAACTAGACTTGATGAATAAAATGCTCAAAAATTTTCATAAAAAAATTCCACCGGGAACCGCCCCAAATCGCGACGGCCGGACAGAGCCTCCTATTTAAGGACTTATTTGACCTTTTAATGAAAGTTCTAGGTCTTATTTGACAGTTTCCGTGTTAATATGAAAAACCAATGTTGTTAAAAGTGAAAAATGACACCGCATGGCAAAAGCTAATTCTATACATTAGACGCCATTTAAAAGCCTTGAACAATCACAAAGCGAAGAAGAAGGCCACCCGAAATCATTTTAAGTCTAAAAAATACTTAAATCAACAAAATTTATCAATTAAGAAAAAATATGATAACAATCCGACTCTTAAGTCTTAAGGTCTAATACCATATCCAAATAGGTGGACTTTAAAAGGAGATGGGTTGCGGCCTATGTTCGTTGTAGTGAGGACATGAGGACATCTATCTATACGGAATGCAAAGGATGAAAAAAATATCTTTTTCTTGTATGCAAGAAATGAAATTAACATGTAACTAAAAGTGCACGAGCGAGGGCGGATATGTATAAAAATGTAATCACCCTATTACCTGTAATATCGTAACTATAACACTCATCTATAACACGCGTACGGGGGAGGGGAGGAAGGGTCAGTGTGGTCAGCCAACCTGGCTGGGGGAGGGGGAGGAAGGGTCAGTGTGGTCAGCCAATCTGGCTGTAAGTTTGAGAATATAGAGCTCTGAAATATCTTCGATTTGATATATTATGACCACCATAACTCATTACGAGTAAAAAGTTATGACTTTTGGAAAATCAACACTATCTAAACGTAAAATCAACAAAAACTTGATGCATACTATTGATTATTTTCCCAAATTTTAAAAATAACGTATAATTAACTCATTACTTACGTGACATGATTTAGAAACAGAGCAAAGACAATCTATCTTATTGTTACGAGTGCCTATTTATCTAAACTACCAATGAAAGGTTTCTACTCGGATATTGTCTAAAAACGATATACCATTTTCATTTCGTGCATAGTTGATTTTCGACCCCTGAGCTGTTTTCTGGCTCCGCCACTGCTTTCATACCCATTACCTGTAGGGGAAAACCGTGGTGGGACATGCAGTGCCTAATGGAGTAATGGAGGCCACTGCCCCTCCCAAAAAAATAATTAATTTACCCCGAAGTTTTAATATATATGTATTTATATGTAGCTTTAGAGGGATGGGGGCACTTACCCCCAATTACTTTTTTTGAGTAAGTTGGATATATACTCCGTAGTAAATTTAGTATGTTAATTTGAGATAATTTGCCCCCAATAATTTTTTTGTTTCCCCAAATATCCCCCCACACACACATGCTTGTTATTCAATTCGGAAATAAAGCATGTGTTTGTTGTGCTTGAAAATAATCATTTTGATTTGTTGGAAAAATATAAAATTTTACACGAGTGCAAATAAAAAAACTCAATGGATGTAATTTTGATTTTAGAATTTACAAATCATGTTATTAAAATTATTCCAAAGTAAAGTAAGAACATTCATTTTCTCGTTCGCATTTCAAATAAAAAATGGTTATTGTACTAGGAAGAATTTGATTTTGCATTCCACTTTTTGGGTGATATTGGACTTGCACCCCATTTTTAAAGAAATTTGACTTTGCACCTCAATCATAAATTGTTCATTGTTCTTCACAAAATGTTATGTGATGAGGTGCAAAGTCAAAGTTGTTTTTTTAAATAGGGTATAAAGTCAAATATCATTAAAAAAAGTGAGGTGCAAAGTTAAATTTCCATATAATTTATATAAATAATCGTTTTTTCTAACTTTAATATGTTATGTCAAACTTATTGTAATCTTATTGTTTCTAAACACAAACTTATTTAATATTTTAATGTGGTTAGTAACTAATCATAATATAAAATATAATAAAAATTTAAGTAAAATGAATGATTTAGATAATGAACTTATTTAGTTAGCATTTAGGTGATAATAAAATGAGTTGACAAGGTCTCGTTAGTGCAACCCGTGTTTTGAATTAAATTTGTGAATGATTTTGAAATTGAATTGGATCAATAATAAAAGGGAAAAGTGTCAAATAAGCCCTCGTACTATACCGAAAAAGTCGATTAGGCCCTCGTACTATACCGAAAAAGTAGATTAGGCCCTCGTACTTTACAAACACTCAATTAAGTCCTCGAACTATCAAAAAACGTTCAATTAAGCCCTTTCGGTCAGTAAGTAACCGGTTTCCCGATTAAATGTAACCCGTTTCCCGGCAGCCGCCGTTGCTGGGGTTCGAGCACATCGTCTCCGTTGTCGCCGTTTAACCGGGAAGCCGGTTACTTACCGACCAAAAGGGCTTAATTGAACGTTTTTTTAATAGTTCGAGGACTTAATTGGGTGTTTGTAAAGTACGAGGGCCTAATTGACTTTTTCGGCATAGTACGAGGGCTAGTGCTGGACTCGGGCCGGTTCGGGCCCGGTTCGGGCCTGGGCCCGGCCGGGCCTCGGGCCAGGAAAGGGAGGCCCGAGCCCGAACCGCCGGTGGCCGGTTCCGGTCCCGGTTCCGGGCCAAACCGGGCCGAACCGGCCCAATTTTTTTTTTTTTTTTTTTTGTTCTCCTATTTAATCCCCTACCCCTCCCCCTTAACCCCAAACCATCCCAAACCACCTCAAATGGCCCAAAATACCTAATCCAACCTAAAACTTAAAAAAATTTCAAAAAAAAAAAAATTAAAATCCGGCCCGGACCGGGCCCGGACCGGCCGGGCCGGTTCACCAAAACCTGGGCCCGGGCCCGAACCGCCCAGCAGCCGGGCCGGGCCGAACCGAACCGGTGGACCCACCGGGCCCCGGGCCGGGCCGGGCCAAACAGTAACCGGGCCGGGCCGGTTCCGGGCCGGGCCGGGCCGCCCGGCCCGAGTCCAGCACTAACGAGGGCTTATTTGATAGTTTTCCCATAATAAAATAAGCAAAAACCAACATACAAGATTTAAACACATTGTTTATTTATACTATCCTATATAGGAGTTGTTACTGCATAGTAAAGTTTAACTTAGATCAATCGGGATTTGGGAATGTACTCATGTAGCTCATCTTCACAGTGTATGTTATTATGCCCCAACAAATTTGTTGTTTGGCCGGAACAGTTCAGCAGTCAGATCAAATACAATCACAGTCCCTAAAAAGAAATGATTAGTTTTAAACAAAATATTAACTAGAGTTTGGTGGAGTTAAAACTAATATTTAATTTTTCAATATAGTAAAAGTGAAAAATAATATTAAGCCAACAATAGGGATGACAATGGATCAGGTGGAGCAAAAAACAATACTAAGCAAAGAAGTGAAAAGTCATACCAACACATGCGTCTTTATCACTATATTGCTACTATGGCTTTCTTACAGAATTTTGCCATGCACCCTCCACATGCGTCTTTATCACTTCTGGTTTTCCCAGTCCTCTTGCAGCTTCATGTGCCTTGCAAAGAGCACAAAGATGGCATTCTCTATTTCTGCTGGAACATTCAACTTGTTGATGACGATCCAAGTTAGCAGCATTTTCATTCATGTTTGGTCTTCTCTCTTTCACTGTCTAAAACCGAACAACCCCTAAGCAGTCTTCCAAAATTCATGTTTGTAGAGTGATCTTGTGAAATCTGTCGTGAAACGTTTTCGACCAAAAGGCTCACTTTGCTTAAGGTCTCTTGTAGGACCTGTCTTTTTCGGCTATAGCCCTAAATCCCTAATCAAGGGTTCATCCCCTAAAGCAATTCAAGGCTCTAATTATGTTATATGGAGTATTTCTTAAAGGTTATGCAAACGAGTAAGGGTCTGTTTGCAACGGCATTTGCTTTTAAAAAAGTGCTATTTTTAATGAAATAGGAAGAAGTGATTAAATAAAAGTTAATAGTGTTTGAGAAAAAAGTGATTTTGAAAAGTAAAAGTGGGTAGTGTTTGGTAAAATAAGTGTTTTTTGTGTATTAGAAAAAGTAAAAGCACTTTTAACGCGGAAGCCGAGAAAAATAAAAATTGTAGCGTTTGGGAAAATAAGTGCTTTTTTAAAGCCAAAACCTGGTAAGTGCTTTTTTAAAAGGAGTTGCAAACCAACCCTAAGAAGCAAATCAAAAGCAGATCCAGTACAAGTATTGGTGGACTCGGGCCGGGCGGCCCGACCCGAAATCGGCCCGGCCCGGTTACTGTTTGGCCCGGCCCGGTTACTGTTTGGCCCGGCCCGGCCCGGGGCCCGGTGGGTCCACCGGTTCGGTTTGGCCCGGCCCGGCTGCTGGGCGGTTCGGGCTCGGGCCCAGTTTTTGGTGAACCGGCCCGGCCGGTTCGGGCCGGTTTTTAATTTTTTTTTTTTTTGAATTTTTTTTAAGTTTTGGGTTGGATTAGATATTTTGGGCCATTTGAAGTGGTTTGGGGTGGTTTGGGGTTGAGGGGGAGGGGTTGGGGGTTAAATAGAAGAGCCAAAAAAAAAAAATTAGAACCGGTTAGGCCCGGCCCGGCCCGGCCCAGCCCGGTTTGGCCCGGAACCGGAACCGCCCACCGGCGGTTCGGGCTCGGGCCCAACTTTCCTGGCCCGAGGCCCGGCGGGGCCCAGGCCCGAACAGGGCCCGAACCGGCCCGAGTCCACCCCTAAGTACAAGTGAGTTACCTGACCTGATATCATTTTACACCTATAAACAATATAGAAGTCAACCTGACCTCGGGAAGTCATGGCAGTAGGGCAGTAGGCCATCCTAAACACGACCTCACAAGCCTAACCTATGTTACATCTCAATGTACTTATAACAGAAGCTCGAGTAGGTAGTATCACTATTTCTTCCAAACACATCACTTAGGAAAGTATAATTGGAGCAATTCATTCATATTCATTTCATTGCAATTCTTTGAGTTCTGAACTGAAGAAATGCTTTCATGCCTTTTCAGCCTATACAGACTACCAATAGAGACAAAAAAAGGGGGCAAGTTACAGTTGTTAATTAGATGATTGTCCTCTAAACGGAACTTCTACTCCGTACCATTCTGCTGTCTATGTTGGTTTGTCTTTTACACATTGCCTGCAGTCAGAAACGAGTTTATGACTTATTGGATGCACTCCTTTCACCGACCACCGATACACAATGGCCCTTTCAATTACCCTGACCTGCAAGGATTTTAGTTCAGTAAATGTAAGTCCTTGTGTTTAGGAAACAAGTCAACTTTCCTATTGCAACAACCAATGGGATGATTATACATATAAAAAATGGAGTATATATACATACATACATACATATATAGAGAGAGAAATCATCATGTCAGGCCGGCTTGACCGGGAGAGCCGTCCGGCCGAGCCGTTTTGGCGACCTTCCCGGTGGAATTTTTTGATGAAATATTTTGAGCATGTTCCTCATCAAATCCAGTTTGTCCATACCAAATTTCAGCTCAAAATTCGATCGGGAAGGCATTCAAATCTTTTTTTGAAGTTGACTGCGTCAAAATATACATATAAAAACGCAGTCAACTTCAAAAAAAGATTTGAATGTCTTCCTGATCGAATTTTGAGCTGAAATTTGGTATGGACAAACTAGACTTGATGAGGAACATGCTCAAAAAACTTCATCAAAAAATTCCACCGGGAAGGTGCCCAAACGGGCTCGGCCGGAGGTTCCTGTCAGGCCGGCCTGACAAGAAGAGTTCTCTCTCTCTCTCTCTCTCTCTATATATATATATATATATATATATATATATATATACACACACACACACATACAGGATTATTCCTGTCTGTATTAAAAGATGCGTGGAGGAAATAGTTTCTTTTCCCACTTTCCCCTCTTTGTGTGTTGTAACCTGATTATGATATCGCCATTGTCCATATTAAAAGAACAGAACACATGTGATACATACATAAGTACATAACATAATGCTATGAATTCATTTAAGTTTTTTCAGAGCTGCTGTAAGCACTCACATAAACCACAAGATGCTACAAAACATAAAATAGAGCTATGTTGACAATTTATGCGTTGTCATCTTCCATGACAATTGCGATGCAACAATTGCCAGGTTCCAAGTGATCGTGGCATGTGTTCTTGGAGCAACTAAAACTAAGGACCATCACATATCTCCACAGAGTAGGGCATAACCATACCCTATGCAAACAGCCAAACACAAATTTCAAGAGATAAAAATGAACGGGCCCTAAATCTGAAATAAAGAAGTTCAGATAATAGAATAAAGATAATAGAATAAAGAGGTAACGAGGTCATCAACAACTGTTCTCATCTTCCGATTGCGCTATGTAACCTTGAAGCCTTCAACAAGACAACAACACCTAGTGTCACTTCTGACTCCATGTATACATATCATTCTTCTCTCACATGAATTGTGATCTCCCATTTTCTAGAACTCCACTCATATTTGCGACTCTTAGTCTTTTATCTTTTCATGCTCCCCATTCCATGAATATTCTCGCCATCCCAAAATCTTCTTTCAATTTTGACTTGGCAAATTAATTAAGAAAGTGAAATAGCATAGCTGTGGTTGATGTAAAACCCAGATAAATGATACCAACCACACAAATCTTTCGTAAAAGGGAAATGGAAGAAAACTCCGGGACATCCCAAAACCAAAAGAAGAAAGAACATTATGGGACATGCGAATATTTTTCTTAGAATGACTACACATCCATCTAAACCTACATATCATTCCCATACTGATCTTGTCCATTTGATCTTTAATAATAGTCGTAACATTTTGGTTTATATACAGACCGGTCTGATGACAATGCTAATGCAGAGTTAATCCGTGACAGATGGCAAAATATGGAGATTACCATCCACATTACACATACGGCATACCTCTCCTATCCTTTTTAACTAGATCTCCATATTTGCATAAAGATACCAAATGCTTGAGGGACTCTCAGACTCTAGTATCCCTCTTAACTAATGGTTAACTACTACCTTTAAGAATCACAGAGATAGCATGTTACTACATACTTAGAATATGTGTGATATATTTGGCGCAATATGCCAAGGTTTGTTACGTGAGCTTATACTGAGCCAGGGGATCAACGATAATAGATAATGAGTCACTAAGGCACCAAGCCACAGAAGGCTGAGTAAACAAAACAAACCCAATAAGCCTTTCTAGAAAAAAAAGGTCAGGGAGGATGAGGATAAGCAATGGTAACTAGATGGTTACGGTTATCCAATCCACTGACAAGTGATAGGCAGCAGGTTTATTCTGATTGAGGAACAGTATGGTACGAGAAACAGCGATGTGAGAGGACCGCACTAGGTAAAAAAATTAATTGGCTAGTACATGATGAAAGAATATACTTAGCTTAAAAGCCTATTTGTACTCAATCTAATGATCTATTTAATGACACTATCTCGCTTCAATCAGATAAATCTGCCCAAGGTGATCTACATATTTCATAAATAATTTAATGTACCATTCATCTATTTCTTGTATTCCTTCGGTTCGTTTTGCCATCTTACATTGACCAGATCCAATACAGCCCAAATCCTGTTAAGGACAGGTTTGCCTGGTCCAACTACTAACATATTAATCATCCTTTCAAGGAAAAATTGGACCTTTGTTATAAGCCAACTTATTAAAACCTTCTATAATCTTGGTGTACCAGGGCGTACGATCACACAATCAACATGTCGAGATAGGTTTAAGGCCTTAACTGATTTGGATCACGACTAGGATGAAAATTTCTTCACTCGCTTTGGACCGCCGGGTTCGATCATAAGATCAATGTATCGTTGTTTTGTGTCAACCCCAGTGTTAGCAATCGAAGATGTCAAAAGCTCAGCCATATGGCACCTCGTTAAAGCAACATACCCACCATTCTTCAGGTATTAGGACAGTGAAATAGTATAGCTGTGGTTGATGTAAAAACCAGATAAATGATACCAACCACACAAATCTTTCGTTAAAGGGAAATTGAAGAAAATTCCAGACATCCCAAAACCGAAAGAAGAAAGAACATTATGGGACATGCAACAACAACATCCAAGCCTTACTCCCAAAAGATTACTACACATCCATCTAAACCTACACATCTTTTCCATACTGATCTTGTCCATTTGATATTTCTTAATAGTCTTAACATTTTGATGTATATTGATAGGGATCTACCTATCTTAGGAATTGGGCCTAATAGATTGTTAAGAATTGGGCCTAATAGACCAAGAATATTAATAAGTGTAATAGACTAGTATAAATAGAAATAAGTTGGGAATAGTAAGGAGGCTGTTTAGACGTTTAGTCTGGGACTGGGAAGATCGAGAACTGTCTCTTTCTTTGGGGGGCTTCGGCTCATTGGGCGCTTCGGCCATAGTTTCTTTCATCTTTCTGTAATCGTTGCTCTTCAATCAATAAAGTGTTCAATTGTTTTCTTGTAATCTTTCTGAAAACTGTTCGGGATTCTTGGAGGTTCTTATCATATATACAGACCGGTCTGATGACAATGCTAATGCAGAGTTAATACGTGACAGATGGCAAAATATGGAGATTACCATCCACATTACACATACCTCTCCTATCCTTTTAACTAGATCTCCATATTTTGCATAAAGATACCAAATGCTTGAAAGACTCTCACTCCAGTATCCTTCTTAACTAATGGTTAACTACTACCGTTAAGAATCACATAGATAGCATATTAGCATGATACTAAATACCTAAAATATGTAGCATTCGAGTGATATATTTGGCCCGATATTCTGAGGTTTGTCACGTAAGCTTATGATGAGCCAGGGGATTAACGATAACAGATAATGAGTCATTAAGGCATCAAGCCACAGAAGGCTGCGTAAACAAAACAAACCCAATAAGTCTTGCTAGAAAAGAGGTCAGGGAGGATGAGGATAAGCAATGATAACTAGATAGTTACGGTTACCCAATCCACCGACAAGTGATGGGCAGCAGGTTTATTTTGATTGAGAAACAGTATGGTACGAGAAACAGCGATGCGAGAGGACCGAACTGGGTAAAAAATTTAATTGGCTAGTACATGATGAAAGAAACCTTCCATATTTAAATACTTAGCTTAAAAGCCTATTTGTACTCAAGCTATTCAATGAAACTATCTCGCTTCAATCAGATAAATCTGCCCAAGGTGATCTAGATATTTCACAACTAAAATTCTGCACTCGCTTAGGAGCGCCGGGTTCGATCATAAGATCAACGTATCGTTGTTTTGTCATTTGTGTCAACCCCAGTGTTATCAATTGAAGATGGCAAAAGCTCAGCCATATGGCTGCTCCTTGAAGCAACATACCCACCATTCTTCAGGTATTTTATATGGTAAGATGCTATATTTCCACCACTGTAATTTGAAATCTAGCAACTGGTCGATCCGTGAAACATTTGACCCATTTGTCAAATACCCAAAATCCCAGATCCAAAAAACCGGAAGAAAAAGTATTGCAAACCTAGAAATGTTGAAGCCTCTTTCATTATGTCATCAACTCATCATATATTTTCATGCTTCTTCTTTAGATTCATCGCTTTTAGCCATTGTTTATTAGTAATTGATCTTCAGATTGTACTCTGGGACTCACATACTGGACTAGTGCTTGACAAACTGGTAAGAATTTTTCTTCTTCCTCTCTCTCTCTCTTCTCTCTATCTCCATTGATTTCTTCAACCCAGACTAATTTTTCTTACTCAGCATTCATATAATTTCCCCCCTTCTATGTCTAATTATAAGCTGTTATATATAATTTACAAATAAAAAGTTATTTTAGCTAGGAGTCCAAGATATAAAAATTCACGAGTTACAAATCTCTAAACCTATCAGATCCTAGCTAAGATCTCGACTTTGACAGCGTTTCCGATCAATGGTTCAACCCAAGGACAAAAAAATGTGTCAGGACTTCACTCCATTACTAAAAATGTAAGTCATTATGTTGCAAATTGGCAAAAACGATTGTATCTTTTTCACACTGAACTAACGCTTATCTGAAGCAAACTGGGTAAGGTTCTCGACTGGAAAGTGACAAACTAGAGCCTTAGGGCTATCCCAAAGAGTTGTGGATACCAACTGTCAAGATATAACTCATTGAATAACAAAATTACATATCTAGACTGCAAAGCCTGCAGCCCTGCACTAACTAAAGGTATCATGGAATTGAAGATAAAATATAAAATACCCAAGGCCACATAGTGCATGGAGAAAACCCCTTCATCCACATTTTCACATAAAATATGAATAAATGAAGAAACAATAGAATATCCATTTGACCAATTTTATGTTCACTTACAATAAGTTAGAACACCTACAAATGAAAGAAGTTTAAAGAATGCAGCTACCTGCTTTACAATGAAAGGTTCCTCAGTAAGACTCAACGGCTCAGTCAAAATAGTTAGGAAACCATTTTTGTTTCCATAAACAATGTCTGTGAAAGGCCGATCACCTACCTGCATTACGAAAAATAGTTTCTTAGAGGGCACAAACCCGAATACCATTCTTCCAAATCAAAAGTTTCCACCTACCATAATAAGTTTTGAGGAGTCACAACCAAACTGCCTTTCGATTTCTTCCGCTGTTCCCGCAGGCTTCTTCACCTCTAAAGTTCATATTGCACAGAGTAGTAAGTTACCATTCCTATTGTTCCAAGCTATCCCCTCATGCTAATGTAAATGCAGCCTAATTTGTATGCCAGTCTTACAAATTTGGACAAGTAGGATGTTAAGAGCTTACTATGTCTGATTACTTTAATTCCAATAGCACGCTCAAGGATCTTTGCATTTCTATAATCGGCGTCATACTCTAATAGTCCTACAGTTCAGAAAAAAACACTATGAGATGGGCAATTTCAGAACTGACTGCAGAAAAAAATACAAAAGGACCCAGAAACGTAAGAGCAGGTCACCTGCAGAGTTACTGAAAACCGCAATGTTGTTGTCAAACAGAGCTTTGCACTGCTCTATGGATGATCCCAGAGGCGTCCACAAGCGCAAAGAGTAAGGAGCAGTGATGGTGTTGTCCTTATCAAAGACGACCCCTTCAAAGCCCCTTCTTCTGAGCTCAGCCCAATCAATGTACCTTATATCAGGCACAGCAATATGCGGGATCACCAAATACTTGTCTTTAGCAAAAATTCCCAGAGAAGAAATAACACCCTCCACGTTAATCCTCTGCCCCAATGCAGCTTTTAAGGCTGCCCACCACATCTTTACTAAAGAGACCAAAGAATTCGTGAATCCCCTCTCGGGTTCTCTATCGTCCTCTTCCTGATGTATATCTTGCTCATCGACAGAAAAGCTGTAATCTTGATAAGCCACGGGGTTTTCTCGAACTGGGTCTTCAGAATTTCGGGGGTGATTTTGCTTTACGCGCTCCGTACTGCAGCTGTGCGTGGTCGCGGAGGAGACTGAACGGAGAGTGAGGCGGATGGTTTTCTTAGGGATAAGAAGAGAATGGGGAGAGTTAAACCCACTAGGAATTGGGCAGTAGCGGCAATTCTGCCATGGAGTAGCATAGGTAGAATGCATAGTCAAACTAAAAGAGTTTTGAATTTGAATGTACAAAGCATGGATTAAAGAAGTGAATTCTCAATCTGTACAATGAAGGAATATGTTGGTGTTGCAGACTTGCAGGTGGCCTTCACCGGAATATGACAAAATCTTCTGTCATCACTCCATTCTCTAGGAAGGTAGTAGTCACAGACAGGTAAAACCATTTGGGTAATTTCTAGGGCTCGGGATTCCTCCGTATTGCTCTTACATATGGTTAGTTTTATAAGAAAAAAAAATGGTTTAGTTTAATTGAATCAAATAGAACCAAACCAAACCAAAAATTGGTGGTATGGTTTGGTTAGATTTTACTTGTGTAAACCGTTGGATAACAATGAGTTCAAACCGAATGATTGGATTTGGTTTGATTTAAAACCGAAAAATCTTAAATCGAATTGACCAACTTGTAATAAATATACTATATATATTATAATATATATTGAGATTAGATATTTAATATATACTCGTATATAGGGAGTGGTTCTAATGAGAACACCTCTTATTGTGATAAATGAGAACAAATCGTGGCTTCTCATCTCTTGAAACGAATGTTGATCTACGTTGAAGGTGCATAAATGTGCCGTGCACTGCGTCACACATTTACGCATCATTGAAACTACTTTGAGCATACGTGGGCTTAATAAAGGGCACAAATGTCAAAAACAAAGAAAATTCCTTTAATGTTTATCCGTTAGAGGCTTTACTTACCAAAAAAATAGGAAGAGATAAAAGGTCAAATCACATAAAATATTTTTTGTTTAAAAATCAATTTAATTTTTTAAATAATAATATCATTTTAACAAAAATTACATCAAATTAAAGATTTTTTTAATCTTTAATATGACACCAATATGTCATATATAATTTTCTTTTTAAAAAAATAGGTATAACATGTATACAATAAACAACAAGAAACATCTTCATATATCGCATGCACAAGAATATGTATCAAACACACAATCACTAATATCTAATGCACAAGAACCGATATCTAACACACAATACGTATAAGAAAAATTAAAATAAGTATCTTAAGCACAAAATCCAATATATAATGCATAAAAAACCGTATCTGACATACAACAATTAAAAACTAATTAATATCTAAAACATAAGGATTTCACACAACTTAAACTAATATATAACCCACAAGAAACAATATCTAATGCACAAGAAATATTAGTGATTAGGTATGTAACTAACGCACAAGAGCTATTATCTAACACACAAGAGCACAAAAATTAAGAACTAAGTAATATCATAACAAGTATGTCATGCACAAGAACCGATATCTAATACACAAGCACAAATATGTAATGCTTATGAACATATATCTAACACACGACTCATTTGTGCATACTAAATGTGTGTGATGCATATTAGAATAAGTGTACAATAGAATAATTTGTACATCACTATATGTTAGTTGTGCACTATAGTCAATTGTGTAAAGATATTAGAAAAAATGACACATGTATGACAATCAGACTTTTCCTTTCCAAAAGTATGCCCATTTTAGTTTTTCCCTAAAAAGCGACCCGCATCGCCTCTCTTCTCCCTCGTGCGAGATCTTTTTCTCCATCTGCCTCTTTCCTCTTCAACATGGCATGTGAGATTCGTCTTCTCCATCGCATGAGAAGAGCCAAGCCGCCTAGATCTACGCTCCCGGGTCTTCTCCCTCTCCAGATCTCTTCTTCGTCTTTCTTCTCGCTGCCGATTCCGGATCGTCCAACATCGGTGGACGACGGCTCGGATCCACCGTCCTCGAAGTCGGAAAGGGACCTGAACAGCCGGACCGCCTATTCTGTCGCTACTTGGCCGTCGCTGCTTGACCGACGCTTTGTGGATTCAAATTTGGGAGGTGGGCGGCTATGGAGGTGGTCTGGCCTCCTAGCTAGGGAAGTGTTTGTTCGCTGGGGATGGGGGCTGTGGAAAGGGGGTTGGGTGAGGCAAGGGAGGGGGCTGGGTGAGGTAGGGGGATTGGGGTGACACAGGGGAGGGGGCTGGGTGAGGCAGGGGGATTGGGGTGACATAGGGGAGGGGGCTGGGTGAGGCAGGGGGTTGGGGTGACACAGGGGAGGGGGCTGGGGTGACAGGGGAGGGGGTTGGGTGAGGCAGAGGCTTGGGTGTGGTGGTTGCAAACGACCAGAGTTGGTGGCTGCCGGAGGCGGTGGTCGGCGGAGGTAATTGGAGGTGTGGCGGCGGTAATTGAACGGTGCTGGCAGCGATGTCACTATGTCGGTAGCCGGGTGGTCAATGTCACTATGCGGCGGAGTCACTGTGCACCGGAGTCACTAGGCGGCGGGGCAGTCATTGTGGCGGTGGGGCAGTCACTGTGACGGCGGGGCAGTCACTGTGGCCGGCGGTGCAGTCACTGTGGCGATGGGGTAGTCACTATGGCCGTTGGACAGTTACTTGGCCGGAGTCACTTTGAATTGTAGGGGCTAATTTGTTGTTGGTCACATTTTTGGATTTTTTAAAAATGTTTCACTTTTTTGTCTTTTATCCTATTTTTAGTAATATCCAGGCCAAAAGGCCAAGATATTATTTAGAGTTTTTGAGAAAATTGTCTTTGAAAACACAATAGTGCACAAAAGTACTTTAAAAAAATCATTATTAAAATGAAGACATGGCTCCTCACGTTGAAAATGTCAAACAAAAATAATGGAATGCACTAAGAATATTTCCTTTCCTAAAATGAAGCACATGTATTAATTGAAATGACGGTTACAAAACTGTCAAAATGATTTATACGAAAATGCCCTTTGATACTTATTCGATCATCTCAATGCATTGTATTATTTGAATGGCTCAGATTTGTTCTCACGTTAAGACTCGTTCTCATTTGAACCAAATTCTACTCATATATATATATATATATATATATATATATATATATATATATATATATACACACACACACACACACACACTTTGTGTTTATTTCCACTCTTCATTTTTAAGATTTAAATGAATAATTTAGACATGAAAAATACATATTTAGCATATAGCCATATTTCATTTTAACTTTTACACATTTCATGCATTCATGCATTATGATAAAGTTAGTTAATACGGAGTACTACATATATGTATTTGTTATGTTTTATAGTCTACCAGTCTATCTCGACCTGTATGAAATGATGTTTGGTGATAACAATAACAAATTGCATGTACATTCTTTTGCATGATTCATTTGAATAAAATTGTGAATATTACAACATTTGTGTCATCCACTTCTTTAGTTTTCTTTGAAGAATCCTTTTCCTGTCCAGCCGGCCTGACGGGAACATCCGTCTGACCGAGGGCATTTTGGGAACTTCATGGTGGAATTTTTTGATAAAACTTTTTGAGCATGTTTTTCATCAAGACTAGTTTATTCTTACCAAAGTTCTGCTAAAAATTCAATCAGGAAGTCAGTCAAATTATTTTTTGAAGATAACTGCGCAATTAATGGCTCACTAAACTGTATGCGCTTCTTTGTCATGAAATAACAGTCAGTCTATGCAATTTTTGACGCGATTTTCACTATGTGTCATTCGGAAACAGTCTCTCTGTGCTTTAGTACAGGGGTGAGATTGCATACATCGGACCCCCCCTTATCCCACCGTAGGTGGGAGCCTTTGCAGCACTGAGGTGATGATGATGATGAAGAACTGCACAGTTAATATATATACATTGTATAAACAACACAGTCTTTTTCAGAAAATCATTTGACTACCTTCTTGATGGAGTTTTTAGCTGAAATTTGGTATGAGTAGACTAGATTTGTCTTATTTGAATATTTTATGTGATACTACGGGTATCATAAATGTTAATCAAATATAAATTTATTTTTTGTAAGAAGTGTATCTTTTTATAATGATCGATAAGATTTTAGAAGTTTTAATTTATACTACGTGATATTTTATCACTTCTTTTTATATCTTTTATAAGTTTTATTTCTTCTTACATTTTATTTAAATAATAAAAAAGAATATGAATGGATTACTAGTTTCATTTTCAAATTCTATAATGTAGAGCTTGATCAAATAAAATATTAAAAATAAAAAACTGAATCAAATCGAACTAAATCGAATAAAATAATAACATTTTTCACTTTGGTAAACCGATCTCCAAATTGAACTGAACCGGAACCGAATCGAAACCAAACCGAAAAACAAATGGTTTTAGTTTGGTACAAATTCTTCCAAACCGAATAAACCGAAACCGAACTAAAACCAAAGAAAACCGAACCGTAAACCGAATTACACACCCCTAGTTTTAATGCATGTTTGGCATTTAGATTATGGGGAAATTGCCCTAAATAGAAGTAAATGAGATTTGGTTTTCCAAAGTAGGACTACTATGTTTTTCTTCCCGAAATAGGAGTTGTTGATGTCATGTGTGAAAAGTACTGTCACGATTGAAAAATGTTGCCATTAATTATTGTTGAGGTTTATTCCTTCAACCTTTGGGTCCAATACGTAAGCCCAAAGATCTCGAGTGGATTATGTGTGTGTATGAGTAACTAACCCAAAGCAAATAAGATGGACTAAGAGAAAGTTAATAGCAAGTAACAGTTCGGATATTATTAATGTCTAACAAACCCCCGGTACAATACGCTTGCTAAAGACCGAATGTCATTCGTCCTGTGCTGCAATAGAAGAGTTGCGAGTAATAAGCTAGGATGCTAAGGCTAATAAGTTGCCAACCCCTTGCAATAAAATAAATGCTACTATTTATACCACCAATAGACAGTTGGTCATGCTGATGTGGAGAGCTGTGAATGACTGATGTTCCAACCACCGAATCCCCAGCATTAAATGCGCTTCCCGCTAGAATCTGGGTTCCCGCCTAATCCGCGGAGATGAACGCCCCCTGACTCGGGGCCTGCTCCTGGTGATACTTGCAAGGGTTGTGGGCCGGTCGTATTCTGGCCCTTGGTAGAGTTTGTTATATAGACTGGACTGGACATCACGCACGTGGTTGCGGGCTTTAGGTGGCGACGTTCGTCGCCCTGGCCTTTGCCCTTGAGGCGTGGTCCATCATTGTCTTGGCTGGACGCCCGTCGAGATGAGCTGCCTTGTTGGGCTGGACGTTCGTCCGAATGAGGGGGTAATGGCCGATCCTCTAATTGGGCCATTAACCCAACAATTATAATAAATACCGACAAGATGGC